TGTGATTGGTGTCAGTCTGTCAGGTTTTTGAATGTGTGTTTTTTTACTCTTTTATGAGGTTTGGTTTGTTGCCAAGTTGACTAAGTAGTCAGTTATGATGATCACTATCCGAAAAAAAGTGGGGAAAGCGTTGGAAACATGCTATCCTTCCGTTCCACCGGCGTGTTTATGGTGCTACACATCTACCCGCCGCCGACGCCCGTGTGGTACTTGATCCACGGCACGTAGGAGCCCACGTGCGTGTACACGGTGGGGAATCTCCCGCCGCACTCCCTCCCGTAGGACACGATGCCCAACTGCACCGGGGTGTTCTTCAGGGTGTGGTCGGCGATGAACGGGCTGCCCGAGTCTCCCTGCGTGTGGAACAACGGACACGGCACTCAATCTCGCCGGATACACGTTTTATCCAAAGCGGCTATTCGTACAGTCGCCCAAATACCGCTATTTTTGTCCAGCGACAACCTCTTCACTGTGATCAAAATTCAAAATTCTGGCCACGATTTTTGATGCGGAGTAGTCACAAAAATCAAACACCGCGGCCAGAATTTTGAATTTTGATCACAATTAAGAGTTTGTCGCTGGAAACTATTTGGGTGCGGCGTTGCCACATCGTTTGGATCAAAGGTCTATTCAAACTCGAGAGTAAAACAGTTACAGAACAAAACATAGCGGGAGAAAATGTTTGGCTTAAGGAGAATCTCGGAGAATCTAGAGAGTGCTGTACATACGTCCGCCATTCGCTACTACGAAACAAACTGTCGAGTTCAGCTCCTGCAAGCTCCTACGACGTCGTGGCATATCCTCGTACCTTACAAGCGTCGTGGCCCTGGTTGGCCTGGGTGGGCGGCCCCCTGCCCCCCCGGTAGTCGACCACGTCCGAACAGAACTGGGTGTGCGCGTAGGGCGCGCCGTTCAGCTGGGGGCACGTGCCGGGCTGCGAGACGGGCAGCCGCGCCCACTTGAGCTGCGGGTGCTGCGGGCCGGAGTTGTGCGTGGCGCCCCAGCCGCTCAGCTGGCCCCGCAGGCCGTGGTGCTTCTGCATGCCCTCGGCTTCGGTGGGCAGGCGGATCGGCTTGATGAGATCTGCAAAGACGATCATTAGCCGTAGCAGCTAAACCAGCTAAACCAATACACGGAATAAGAAGAGATTGTCTGTAGCTAAACAAGAGTTAAATAGCTAAATACGGTCTTTCCCTCACTGCACTTAAAGTACCCCGTCCTGGCCGCCATGGCCTTTGAAGCCTGTTCGTCTTTGAAGAACATTCTTCCCAAATTTCAGCATATCGATGAGATCGGAGAAAAATAGGTTGGACAAAATCTAGGTCAGAAACCATTTTGGGGATTTTGGATAAATAAACAGGTCGGAGAAAATTAGGTGGGAAAATCCAGCAGCCGCGTACGTTGAGCCGTTTATGAATCGGGCACCTTGCTCACGCACTGTCGTACTGCACCGGCTGCTTCAGCTTCACGAGACCGATGTCGTGGTGGTGGAACCTGTCCTGCGGCTGGTAATACTCGTGTTGGATGAGCTGGCTCGCCGGTATCTGCAAGCAACAACTGCGGTCAATCCTCGCGTAGGTAAAATGGTGAAACCTTCCATAAAAGGCGCGGCCAGGTTACGAATTTAAAATGTAAATAAATTTCGAAAGTTTACTGCGCAGTATGCGGTTGTTGTCAAGTGTTGGTGTTCGCGTTACTTGGGACGAGCAGCGCGTAAACTCACCTGCTTTCGTCCCTGTTCCACTCGGTCCAATCTGTTCGTGCCCAGCTTCACCTGTATGTCGTTCTTGGTCTTCCTGTGGGGGGGGG